CGCTTTCTATACTGGAGGGGCCATCTCGGGCTCCCTGGGCGGATCCACTGGCAGGTAGCCCGGTACCACGGGCTCCGCATCTCGGGGCAGTTCGGCACGAGTCCGTTTGGCAACTCGCTTCCTCCTCTTCATGACATGAAACAGGTTCCCACCGTGAGTCTTTTCTGCGTCCATCTCACCTGCTAAAAGAGCTCGGCATCAGGAAAATGAAAGAACAGAAAGCAAAACAAAAGGCAAGCCTCTGAACAAGGAACCTACCCAAACTCAGGCCGGCCTCAATGAGCTTGGCCTCCATCAGATAATGGTGGCATTTTAGCCCAAGTCGTGCCCATTCCCGGAGGCCCTTCGCCGTCTCCCTATCAAGCGTAACACCGGCATCGGGGGCAGGCATCCCCCACCCGGTTTGGAACGGCCACCCCATTGCACTTCGCACCCCGAAGTAGTCCCGTTTCCATGCTAGGACCTTGTTGGGAAGATCGTGTAAAAGCTTGAACCCCGGGCGAGGAGATAGGTAGTACGCCCGCCTATGCCCGAGAAGGGGACCTGCTTGCTTCTGAAGCATTAGAATGGAAGAAAAGATCTCCAGGTCTAAAGGCAAAATCTGTTCACAAAAGAGGGAGATAGTCCCCACCAAATTATGGATAGAATTCGGGTGGAGCTGGCCGACGGTAACGCCGAATTGGTTCATACCCTTGACGATGAGGGGGTGGAAAGGTAGGCGCAACCCAGTGACGAGCTGCTCCCGAAATATCACGATCTCGTCGGGACCGTGTTCCCAAGGAAAGTCGCCCGAGGGTATAAAGTAAGTGTACTCCCTAGGCAGGTTGAACTGGGTGATAAGGGAGTAAAGCCCCTCAGGCGTCATGGTTGAAGGCGCAAACTTGTCTAACATCCGACCTCAACGGGAGGAGGACGGCAAACTACCGGAGGCGACTCAGCCTACGGGTTCAAACTCTTCCTCGAGCTCTACCTCGTGTTCACTAAGGCTGTCGGGGGATGCAGCTCGGTTCGTAGAACCTGCATCTGACCCCCTCGAAGAACTGTCTAAGCTGTCCGAGCTAGACATCGGGAGGAAAAGAATACCAGGAAGAAAGTACTGACTCACCCGGAAAAAGCAAATGGACTACGGAAGGTTGACGCGAGCTAAAACTTGGACGTGAGCTCAAGAAGCAAACGCAGGAGAATGGCAATGAAAAGCGATTGGGGTCCCCCACTATTTATACCCATAGTGACCAAAAACCGACGGTTCTGATCAAGGCAAATCCAATGGCCCACGATCAAGCTGACCGCACGCCTCCTAAGACCGAGACATGACTGGCCACACGTCTTTTGAAACTGAAGTAGCGCCGGCGCATGTCTCCCTGCATTAAAGGCGGCAGTGGCGCATTTTTCAAATTTGAAATAATGCCCGCTGTCACGTCTCCCAGTGGTGCGTTTTTTAAATTTTGAAATAAATGCGTGTTGTCACGTCTCCCAACATTTAAAGACAGATTAGCGCGTTTCCTAACTTTTTGGCACTCGAGAAACCCAGAAATCTCCTGATGAATGCGCACTTCGCAATCTCCTGATGAATGCGCACTTCGCACTATCAGTCAAACCAGTTCGATGTACGGGTCAAATCCACCCGCCACCTCGCAAACTCCCCGCGCCAGGGCAAGCCCCTTTGCGCGAGGAGTGGGGGGCAATTGATGAAGGAAGATTTGGTCCGACCTCTTGACCACTCAACACGTGGTAGAGGCAACAGCTCGGCACGGCTGTACGCTCAAGGCGCGAGCTCCGAGAGGAGGAACCAGCGGTTCGAGCTCCCCAAAAGGAGCCCGAACTCTCCCTTTGACCCCGAGCCTTACGAGGAGCACAAAGGGCAACAACCCGAACTGGCTCCGCCCCAGGGCAGTTCGGGCCACACCTCTATCCGAATTCAAGACTTCACCTCGCACACCACTCCAGCACTTCGGCTCTAGGACGCCGAACTGAACAACCGTACCTGACCTGACACCAAAGGAGTCTGTATCCTGAGGCGGCGCACCTGACTGACTTAGGATTTGACACTTTACAGCCGCACTTCAACGACCACCTGCCACCGCCACCTCCAGTCACAAAGACGGCTCCGACAAAGAGAGCAGTGGCGGTTGTCTGCCCCAGCAGAGGTGATGACACCCGAACTGGCAGAAGTGTAGAGGTAATGATACCCGACCTGACAGGAGCTTGGAAGTGAGTGCGCGAAGTGGTTATAAAAGGTTTTCTTCCCCCCAAGAATGAGGTATGTGATAATTTTGCGCTATCTGGTTTTTTATCTTGCCCTTGAGGAAATACTAACTTTGAGCTTCGGAGCACTCTCGCCGGGTTCCTCCCCGGAGATTACTCGCTTTCTTCTCCGTTTCAGACACCTTTTGCTCCAGTCAGAGACAAGATCGTTGGCAGTTAGGACCGGCCGGATTGTGCTCCATCACATGCCTTTGTTGTGTTTGTTATCTCCTTGTTGCTATAGATATAGTATATCGTAGCTAGTGTCTTACCCCTCCCAACTAGGTTATGACTAAGATGCCCTCTCGGGTGATCGGGTTGTCTACAAGTCACTTTCCTTGATGGGTTTTAGTTTCTTTGTGATCAACATAATGTCAAGTTATGACATTTTACCCAAAGGACACTTTGGTGTTTGCTGCACACTTATCCTTGACAATTCAGGAGGCTTAATTAAGCTTCTAATGAGTAGCTGCCTTCCTGCGAAGGTACCCTCCTTTGAAGTTATCAACTCCTAATTAAACATGCCCTTATGTGTTCATCCTCTTTCGTTCTGATTCTCTAAGGAGATTGAAATGGACACCGTTGGTGGAGCTACTAGGTGATAAATTCCTTAGAAATATGGCCTCGACTCACCCATTCCATGGTTGGAGCTACTTGATTTGTGGCCTTAGGACAAGCCTAGTCAAGTTGTGGGCAGGAAATTCCGACTGTTGCACCAAAAATATGTCCTCCTACATTCGTAGAAGATGAAATTCTTGTACATGAATAACCACAATCTGCATCATTTTGTGCAATGCTCCTTAGGGGCATTCTTTTTATAGATTTTGAGATGGGGAAAAGTTGGTCAATGCGATTTTGATTCCCATTGACCAAAAATTCTTTGGTCTTTTTTTAGATTTATGTGGGGCATCAGGGAAGGTTTATTGTCTTGGGTATCACTTGTACCCATCTCTTAGGTGGATAAATAACTTTCCCCCAAGGGGGAAATTTGCCACACTTGAATGGGACAAAAACTACCCATTTTAATAATAGATTTTTATGGCTAAAATGATCATTATCTTATTTTCTTGAAAAATAAAAGAACATGATCGATAAATGCACTTACCCGGATAAGTATTTCCTAGGAAAAATTTATCCAAGTAATTGCGTTCACCCAGATAGAATGGGCCCAGTTTAGGACCAAATTTTAAGCTCCTCATTTAGGGATTGTACGCACAGTATTTCCACTTAACCATAAGCCTATTAGGACCAAATTCACACCCAATCATAAATCGGTAAGTCCCTTATTTAGTGGCCGTTTAGTAGGAGTTCCATACAGTGACTTCTGGCATTATATGACCTGAGAAACCCGGAAAGCCGATAAACCATGTTTTGTGAAAAACTGAAAAGTTGCAAACAGATTTACATGATCCGAAAATCAATTTTTTGGCAAAGTTATCATTGGTAATTTCTCTCCAAAGCAATGCATTAGTCCTCCCAAATTGGCCCACATTTAAACCGTAGAAACTGTTACTGCGGATGATACATCTGCGGATCAATTATTAAGAGATTGTTCGTAAATGATATAACAGTTTCAAGTAATTGCACATAAAGCCATAATTATTGTTTTTACCAGTCATACTTTAACTATTTCTTATTGTAGAAAAAAATGTATGTTGTAACTAGTTTTTTTTAGGCTGTGTTTGGTTGCAATGCAAATAAATTTGCACTGATGTAAAATTATGGCAGTGCAAATGATTTGAGTGTTATAAATTCTAATATATTTTTGTTTCAAATTTTATTTTATTTTGTTTGATTACAGTACAAATGAAATAAATTAAGACATAAAGCAGAATAAAGTAAGATCCAAAATAAAATTAAACAAAAATTTGCATTTTTTACATTTGCACTCTCATACACTTATACTAGTGCAAATAAATTTACACTGCAACCAAATCAGCCTTAGCAATCCACTGGTGTTTAACATCCTTGTGGATTCTTTGATAATGGTACGTTATCATAAAAACAACCTACATAGACCCTTGTAAGACATGAGATGACACCTAGAATTGTTGACGGGCAAGGTAACCCAATTGACAGTTTTAGACCCATGAGCTTGGGCTTAGGATCTAAGCACCTATCTAAACCATTTTTCAGGAAGGGCTTAGGATGTTTCAAATAAGTTCATCTGAATCCACCGGAAGTTGATTAGCTTAAAAAACTCTTTGGATAAATTTCTAAAACTACCCTTATTGGTTTTGAAATTGACTAAGAGTATATCCTTATTGTTTGACTATTGTCAAACCGTATTCTCAGACAATTGATTAACTCTACCTTTAATATTAACTTCCCTTAATATTCTCTCAAAACTTATAGACACCTTATGTATATCTTTTTTAAACCCAATTTTGCCTTACCCTCTTCTTCCTTTTTACAATGCAAACCGAACCAACTCAGTCCTTAACCGGCGGAGATAGCCCCCTCTACCTCCTATCTCTTCCCCTTCGTTCACTCTCCCTGTCTCCCCTGCTGGACGAAGCCTTCCCGCCCAGATACTGCACTCAACCTCTCCTTAAAATTTCTTTACTGGAATCCGGCGGAGTTCCCCCTTGCTGGAATCCGGCAGCGCTCCGGCGGTGCTTTCTGTCGTTCTCCAACATTGCTACCAGACCTTGGCTCTCCAGCGTCGCTACCAGTAATCTCTACTGCTCCGGAGGTTTGAGATCTCCAGTCAAATACAGGCCAACTAAGTTATGAATCTAAGTTGCAATGCACAGTGCATAGATGGGCTCACACTGAAAGACACCATCGCTGCCAGTATTTCAAGGGGAAATCTGGTTTTCGGGGTGACGAACGATGCAAACGGAACATCGTCGGTGACAATGTTCGCTAATCCATTCTGGACTGAGGTGGCGGTACTATCCAATCGATTGATGATGAACGTGAAGCGGATGCAGAAGCTGGTTGGGGTCCGTTTAGGAGTGGGTTGGTAACTGGTATCAGAGGGCCCCGAAACATCCCCAAAAGGCTTCCCTTGTAATACTACAGAAGGCTTCTTTGGCAATTGATAATCTTGTCAAGGGAAAGCAACTTCCCCAAAAGGGGAGAGCAGGACCTCTGGTTCTAACACTTATCGTCCCCGGTCCTTTGCCACAGTGGTGAAATCCTCCCCCTCTTCAGCCCTTAAATATCCCACCCATTTCCATTAAAGGATGTGATCCTAAAACAATTAATCGGGCTTTAGATGCCAATCCAAATTACAATGTTCGAACTTCTTTAAGTTCTTCATACCTTGATGTTCAACTCAGATCTGAACTACCTCTACATCGAAGGGCATCCAAGAGCGATGTCGGTCTCTCGAGAGGGCATATAGTCCCTACGGCTACTATTTCAGTTTAGAGGAAGCGGACAGTGGACGGTTGGTATTTCAGTCTCCTCCCAACACTTCACACATAGAAAAAGAAGAAATCTGACTCCCCGCCATCTTCTTGGCAATAGATTGGTTGGAATTGAGGGATAAAGGTTGCTCCCGCCCCTGATTTCTGCTGACGGCCCATGGGAAGAGGGCAAATTTTTCATCGGTTGAGTTTTATTTTAAAATTTTGAAAAATAATGAGGAACAAATTTGATATTTCATTTCTTTCCATTAGCATTTATTAGGAATGTCAATTTTTAGAAATAATAAGGGTGCAAACAGTGGGGATAATTTTAAGAAATTTATCCAAACCCTTTTTATTTCCATCGCTAGCAGTATGCTATATTTAATTTGGGGATTGTACTGAAATATTGGATAAAACAGATGGGAGTGACCCATTTTTCCCCTTGACGAAAGGTAGTCTCTGTAACTGTAAGGCCACAAATGGTAGGGTCCCCGGCTGGCTGATTCAAAATCTGGTATGATCAAAGGGGGTATCCTCCTATATGTATGATATTTGCTGATGTTGCATTTGTTTTTGTTCATCTAATAAAATATCCAAATTATTTTTATATTTGGGGGTGTTCTTTTTTTGGATTTTGAGAGGGGAAAAGTTGGTCAATGGGTTCCCATTGGACAAGAATCCCATGTTTTTTTTTTCAGATTTATATGGAGATTAGGGAAAGTTTATTTTCCCAGGTATGATACCCATCTCTAAGGTGAATAAATAACTTTCCCACGTAGGGGGAAAGTTACCAACACTTGAATGAAACAAAAATGTCCCTTTTAATATTGAATTTTTATAGATAAAATGGTCATTACCTTATTTATATGAGAAATAAAAGAACATAGGTAAATGCATTTACTTAGGTAAGTGTTTCCCAAGAAAAACTTACCCAGACACATTTACCCTGGTAAGTAATTTACGGTAAAGTGAACACGACCTTGGTTCAAATTTGAATAATATTAAAATACAACTTTAGATCTAGACATACCCAATTCAATTAACCATAACCAAAGAAGCATCAAACCCCCAACTTGCATTTGATATCATGGAGCCCCACGCCCCCATTAACATCAGCACAATCACTTCTCCATGCATCCACCTTCTGTTCCGTTCTTCTCTTCCCCTACAAGCACAAACCTTACCATTTGGGGCAAGGTTCAAAGAAGCGATTCCAACAACTAATATAGGTACTTGTTGTTTCAATAGATACCATCTAAGCCACATGTATTCAAGGAGATCGGCTTCTATTAGGGCAAACCTGTGCTCACTCCGTTGTAATATCCTTTTGCAATCTTTCATTAAGAATATCTCTCTATGAAATAAAGTATATAAATATGAAAATATTTTCAATGCAATGCAATAAAGACTTCTCAAACAGGCTTTGCCCTGACTGAAACCGAACTTGTATTGACATCGGCTTCTATCAAGACCTTTTAATATTGTTTAAATGCTAAGGATATATTTAATACTTATCATTTAGAGTATTCGCATTTATCCAAAAACCAGTATGTATCAAACAATCCATATGTTGTCCTGACGCACAACAAATTTAGAGAAGCTGTAGCATGAGTAGCTGTCTTAACATTCCTAGAAACATACAAAAAACTCTATGCCAAAAGTTCAGCTCCAACACCCCACTGAAAAGACCAAAGGTCCCCCTGCATTCAAGACAAAATTATGGTTAAAGAAGCAAATGAAATCAAACAACCCTTTCTTGATTCACACTATTAATGACACCATCACAAAATTTTTGAAAAGTTCCATTCAGAAAGATGTACCCCAATTACTAGTCTTATTATATGCCTCATTACAATTTTGAGGAGATCCACTAGAGTAGAGACTAGAACTAATGACTAGAACTAATGATTTCATTGACACAATTTAAGATCCAAAAACACAAATTTTTAACTGAATCACAAACAAAATTATATATATAGAGAGAGAGATAGATAGATAGATATATAGAAATTTTCTTTTTTTTTCTCTTTTTTATTTTTTATTCCATGTCATTTTGTAAACAACCAATGAGACGTTTTCCTTTCCAATAAAAGAATACCTAAAATCTCTCTCTCTCTCTCTCTCTCTCTATAGGTTCCCAATAACCTAAATAATATCCTCCCTGAAAATACCTCCCCCACTTTCTCCTAAATTATCTCTAATTCCTATTTATCATATCCCCCACTTTTTATCTACTAGTAAACATGTACATGCATTTGCAGGTGGCAGAACTATCTATATAATTCATGGGCAGTTTGGTTATAACCATGGTTCAAAGTGTTGACAACTAGCTGATATGTCGATAGGCCATATCGACCTCGGTCGGTGCTTTTTTTTAGTTTTACTTATATTTTTGAAATCAGTTCAAAGGGGCCAATTTAAGGCCCAACTACCCTCTGAACTAGTGGCTGACCTAATAAAACCCCTATAGGGGCGTATCGGGAAGCCACCGGCATGATATGTATTGGCCAATACGGGTTGATACGTATTGATACTTCAAACCTTGGTTATAAGTGAACGGTTTCTTAAGTGAGAATAAAGGACATATATGGCCTCTTTATTCCCACTGTATCCTTAGACAAGGGGGCTAGAAATGTTCGATGAAAATTCTAGAAAAAATAGGAATTCGCTCTTTTATAGGTAGTATAGATATCTATCTAAAGAAAGTTTGAATTAAAATTTTAAAAATTATTTAAATATTTTAACAAAATTATATAATAACTTTAAAATATTTATCAAAAACACAAAAACAACTATAATAGATTTAATAATATAAATATTATTAATAATTTTATATTTCAACAATACTCGTCATGAAATTATGTACAAACAATATAAATTATGGGTTTCTGAATTATTTAATTTAAATGTTATGCAAATAATAAAAATTTAACATTAAAAATAAAATATTATTTAAAATTTTCAATAACCAAATATCGTAAATAACAAAATATTAAAAATGGATAAATAATTATATAACAAGATATTTAATATTATGTAATAACTTTAAAGTAAAAAAAATTTAAAGAAAAAATAAATATTTTATATATTATTTAAATATTTAAATAACTAAATATTTTAACTAACAAAATATTTAACATGACTAGATTTTAAATAGTAAAAATAATGAAATTATGTAACAAATTTAAAAATTTTCTTAAAAGTAGAAAAATAATTATAACATAATATTTAAATTAATAATAGCTTAATATTTTACAAAATTAATAATGACGTAGTAGTAAAAATTATTTAAGGATTATTAAATTCAATAAATAATTCTTGTATTTATTATATATTTATATATACTAAAATTAATATTTATTGTATTGTTAGTAATTATTTATATTTTGTGATAAATATATTTTCACTCATTATGTCTAAATCTATTTTTTTATTTAACATAAAATTTTCAATATTTATTGGAGATTAAACACTTATTATTTAACATTTTAAGTCATGGTTTTCAAAACCGGACCAGACTGGGCAGTCGGACATGAAAAACTAGGAACTGGTCAGGTGACTGGTTTTGTTTTCCCCCAAAAACCAGATTTCCCCCCAAAACCGTTGATTTTGGTAAGCGAAATGCTGAACCAGGCGATTAACCATTTGAACCGTTTGAACAGTTTTGACCTTTTTTTTTATTTTTTTGAGTTCTTTTGATTTTTTTATCAGAATGGACCGAATGTTTGGTTGAAACGGTTAGACCGTTGGACCCGTTTACCAGACCCTTGATCGGTTTGGTCATCGAGTCGGTTTTAAAAACCATGTTTTAAATATAACTTATTGTACTTATTGTATATTTTTTATAATTTATTGATTAATATTTATTAGAGATTAAACTATTATTTGAGATTATACTATTTATTGACTAATTTAATATATTTTTTAATATTTATTGTATTTTATTAGTTATATTTTATATTTTCATTATCAATATATTTTCAATAGTTATGTTATTTTTGCTATAAATTTTCAATAATTATTGGAGATTAAACTATTGTTATTTATTAGAGATTAGACTATTAATTTAGATGAAATTAGGAGTATTCACAAGTTGGATTAGTTCGGTTATGGGTTGTTTGGCCAACCAAATCAACCTAGTTAGGTTGGGGAGTTGGTCATCCGAAATCAACTAGCCACTAATGAAAAGTGGCCAACTTGGGTTGTATCATTTTGGGTTGATTTTTGGTTTGGTTATCGGTTCAAAAGATTTAAATTGAAAAAATTAAATTTAAATTAAAAAATTATAGTGACATTATTAAAAAATTATATTTTTGATATAAAATTTTTTAGACCAAGAAAATTGGGAATTTTCCACTTTTCCTGTATTAGAAAAATATATTAAAATATAAAATATTAATATATATCCATGGTTGAGTCATTTGATTTTGGTCAATTTACAAATGACCAATGCAAAATTGATCCAACCTGGTTGGGTTGGGAAATTGTTGAACCAAAGCCAATTGGAAATACTAGAAAACCAACTTGTCAAGTTGGTCGGAATGGTCAGTTTCATCAATTTGTTGAACAACCCTGGCTGAAATTAATTAGTATTATTTTTGTATTGTAAAAAA